CAAATGACGGCCTCCTGGTCTATGCACAGGTTCCTCATGAACACAATCAAGTATTCTTCCCAATGTTATCCATACTTTGTTATGATCCACACAGTTGAATCCTTTGCATAGGCAATAAAACATAAAAACAAAAACAAAACCAAGTATACCTCTTTCTGGTATTCTTTGCTTTCAGCTAAAATCCATCTAACATCAGCAATGATATCCCCTGTTTCACATCCTTTTCTGAATCCAGCTTGCACTTCTGGAAGTTCTCTGTCAACATACTGTTCTAACTGTTTTTCAGTTATCTTCAGCAAAATTTTACTTGTGTGTGATATTAATGATACTGTTTGAAAATGTATACATTCCGTTAGACCACCTTTCTTTGGAATGGACACAAACATGGATCTCTTCCAGTCTGTTGGCCAGGTAGCTGTCTCCCAGCTGGCATAGATTAGTAAGTGCTTCCAGTACTTCATCTGTTTGGTGAAACATCTCAGTGGATATTCTGTCAATTCCTGGATCTTCAATTTTTACCATTCCTTCAGTGCAGCTTTTTGACTTCTTCCTTCAGTACCATTGTTTCTTGATCATATGCCACCTACTGAAATAGTTGAATGTCAACAAATTCTTTTTTGTACAGTGACCCTGTGTATTCCTTCCATCTTCTTTTGATGCTTCCTGCATCATTCAATATTTTCACCATAGAATCCTTCAATATTGCAACTTGAGGCTTGAATATTTTCTTCAGCTCCTTCAGCTTGAGAAATGTTGAGTGTATTCTTCCCTTTTGGTTTCCTAACTCCAGGTCTTTGCACATTTCATTATAATAATTTACCCTGTCTTCTTGAGCTCCTCTTTGAAATCTTTTGTTCAGCTCTTTTATCTTGTCATTTCTTCCATTTGGTTTAGCTACTCTCCATTGAAAAGCAAGTTTCAGAGTCTCTTCTGATATCCATTTTGTTCTTTTCTTCTTTCCTGTCTTTTTAATGACTTTTGCTTTCTTCATGTATGATACTCACCCCACAACTTGTCTGGTTTTTGGTCATTGGTTTTCAAAAGTGTCAAATCCATTCCTCAGATTGTCTCTTAAATTCAGGTGGAATATACTCAAGGTCATATTTTGGCTCTTGTGGACCTGTTTTAATTTTCTCCAGCTTCAACTTGAATTAGCATATAAGCAGTTGATGGTCTGTTCCACGGTCAGCTCCTGGCCTTGTTTTGATTGATGATATTGAGCTTCTCCATCACCTCTTTCCACAGATGTAGTTGATTTGATTTCTATGTATTTTATCTGGTGAGGTCCATGTGTATAGTCACTGTTTATATTATTGAAAAAATGTATTTGCAATGAATAAGTCGCTGGTCTTGCAAAATTCTATCATGCACTCCAGCATCATTTCTATCACCAAGGCCATAGTTTCCAACTGCTGATAGCTCATCTTTGTTTCCAACTTTTGTATTCCAATCATCAGTAATTATCAATACATCTTAACTGCATGTTTGGTCAATTTCAGACTGTAGAAGTTGGTAAAAATTCTCAATTTCTTCATTTTTAGCTTTAGTAGATAGTTTGTAAATATGAATAATAGTTTTATTAACTAGTCTTCCTTACAGGCTTATGGATAGTATCCTATCACTGACAGCACTGAACTTCAGGACTGATCTTTGAAACACAGCATAGTAGACATACGATTGTCTGATCCAAGATGTGTATATGTATATGTGTGTATGTATGTACATAAGTAAAAGGCTATTCATTGCTTTAATATTTATAATATTTATAGTTTAATATTTACAATAGCAAAAGACTGGTAATAACCCAAAGGTCTAAAGTGGGGAACAGGTGAAATTCATACAATGGAAACAACACAGCAAAGAAAAGGAAGCCGCACTGGCTTCCTCTCCAGGTGACATGAGAAGACCTATAGATGTGTTAATGAGAAAAGCAAGATACAGAATTGCATTTAATGTTAACACAATATAAAAACATATTGTGTTAAAAAAACTAAAAATATATGTTCATCATTTCATAGAATTGTATGAAAGAAAGAAACATAAGAAGCTAATAAAGCAGAAGCTCGTGGAGAGGGTGGTAGTGCAGTGGGAGCAGGCGGATGGGGGGTAGGGTTGGACAGAAGGCCATGATCTTTTTTTTATGTTTTTTGAATCACCTACATTTATTAGGAGCTCTGGTAGCATAGTGGCTAAGGCACTTGACTGCTAACTAGAAGGCTGGCAGTTCAAACCCACCAGCCACTCCTCGGAAGGAAAGTTGGGCAATCCTACTTCCGTAGTGATACTGCCTCAGAAACCCACGAAGGGGTCGCTATGAGTTGGGGCCTACTCAACGGCACACAACAACAACAACAACATTTATTATCTATTAAAAAACTAGACAAACGATGTCGTCATGGTTCAAACTTGTTTTCTCCCTTCCTCAGACTTGTTAAGGCACTTTTTTGGGTTGAAGAAAGAGATAAAGAGTGGGGGTGAGGACAAGTAAACCATAACCAGTTATTGTCAAGTTGACAATGGAGTCCCCAGTATGTCAGTGTAGAACTGTGCTTCAAGGGTTTCAAAGGCTCATGATTTGAAAGTGCCAGGTCTTTTGCCCAAGGCAACTTTGGGAGGACTCCATTCTCTCGCCTTTTGACTGGCACTCTAGAACTGGTGGCTTTCCTTTTGTGGAGTGTGTATTTCTTCCTCTGGCATATGTAGTCTGTGAAGAAAGAAACTCAGACTCTTCTAGGTCATCTGGTTACATGCTGCACTCATAGATTTGCTTCATGTGCCTCAATCTATTATCAAGTCTCCCTTGACTTTTCCCAAACCAACTCAGGAAGCACTTATCATGTCTGCCCTTATCCACAAGCCATAAGGCATACCAGGAATACCTTCCTGGCTTGTCAGCACCCATGCTCACACCAGAAAAAGGTGATATTCTTCTAGTCTCCCATTACCTTCTATGCATATGCACTATAGTAGCAGCACTTACATATAATATTAATAACTTAACATTGCTTACTATAATTTATAAGTGTCTAATTTATAAGTGTCAACCAGAAGAGCGACATAAATAATTTCAATGAAATTCCGATCAATAAACATTAATTGACTACCAAATACATACCACCCCTGCTCTCAGGAAACTTACAAGTTAGCTTAATTTGCACTATATGATAGTACTTTGCAGAACACACTAATAAATACTTTTATATGTTGCTATTGAAGATAAACTCTATTAACACTAAAGCAAATAAATTATTCCATGTTTTCTAATACAAAAACTTGGCAGAACAAATAACTGTCTTAATTGTTCCTTTTTGCATCTAACTTTATTCATTTAAAGTCTTCTTAAAATCCATGGTTTCTTCTTTTTTCTTCCCGATGACTTAAGATCCTAACAGAGGGAAGCTAATTTTCTTTAACAGCCCACATTAGAAACATTTATAAAGGGCTGTTTCTACTTAGACTCCATTAGAAACAAGTGGATTAGTTAGAAGATGCCTCCTGTTCAGTTTAAAACAACAACAAAAACTCCTTATAAAGTTAAATTTCTACACTCTTTTAGGACATAGAAGTCATTGAGAATCTTCAGTAAAAGTACAAAGAGTCTTTGGGGAAGCAGAGGGTGATTAAAGGATTTTCAGCACACTGTACGCTTCCTGGAGAGAACTATACGCATACAAATAGCTCCCAACTCAAGCATTCTCTGGGATTGAGAATTTATTCTGATAGTCCCCCAAAGGAGGGAAGGGGAGAATAAGAATATACTTGGCTCCTCTCACAGAAATTATTCATAGTGCATTTCCCTCATAGAATAATGGACTATTAGATCTTCCATTAAATCCCTTTCAGTAATTTGATGGTGTGTCTGCATTTCATAATCCATTTTTTTTTGTAACTAGGAGAAGAAAAAAACAACCAACAAGAGAATCATTTTATAATAATTCATTCCGCTTATTTTATTAAATTTCCAATTGCAAACCTCTCAACCTCCCTATAAAAATTAAACAGACTTGTTTTTGAGACTCCTCTTCTGTTAAGTAATTATTAAAACTTCAAGTTTCATGACTGCCACCTACTGACCAGGAAAAATATGACAACTTACTTTAAAAGTCACTTTCTCTGGGATTTTCCATTTTCTCAGATTTAAATATTTCACAATAGAGAAGGACTGAATGCTGCATAAGAGGACATTCAGAACATTTACATATTTAAGCTCAAATTTTTTTTCTTTTTTCAGTTTAATGCTTTTCCTAGTTTTATTACAAGAAGTTACACCAATGAATTGTAATATGAATCTACATTTTGTTTTTCATCTGCATGGACACTGGTGGACCTCATGATGAAATGAAAGGCTATTTCATGATTAGGTTGTCTAATTAAGCAAAGTATACATAGTGAAAATCTCTTAAAAGTAATGTCATTAACTGTCTTTAAAAAGAAAAAATAAACAGTTGTCATTAAGTTGATTCTGACTCATGGCAATGCCATGGATGTCGGGGTAAAACTGTGCTCCAGGGTTTTCAAGGGCTGATTTTTCTGGAAGTGGATTACCAGGCTTTTCTTCAAAAGTGCCTCTCGGTGGACCTGAGCTGCCAACTTTTAAATTAGCAGCCCAGCACTTAACTGCACCACTCAGGCAAGTAAATTCTGAAAACAAAAAGGCAACTCCACTAGTTCACAGAACGTTGTTGTTGTTGTTGGGTGCCATCGAGTCAGACCCAACTCCTAGTGACCCCTCCTTGGGTTGCCGAGGCGGTACCGCTATGGAAGTAGATTGCCCAACCTTCCGTCCGAGGAGTGGCTAATGGATTTGAACCACCAGCGTTCTGGTTAGCAGTCAAGTGCCTTAGGCACTATGCTACCAGAGCTCCTAGTACACACAATACACAATGGTAAAAGTAGCCATTAGTTCTTTGAAGTAATGTATTAGCCTGACGGGGAACATTTACATACTCACTCTTTGCTTGTGGGAAAGCACTTAAGCATATGTAATTAATGGAACATACCTGGCTTAAAATGTGGTAAAGAATGAACTCCAGGCCATGTGTCCTCATTTGGTGTTCCAAGAACCTAGTGGAGAGCAGGAAATTGTGCAAACAGACTTATTATTTCCAAAGCACTCAAAATTCTCTAGTATAGAAAACAGTACACTGGAATTTATGAAACTCTGGATTTTTTTCCATTGTCATGTGCCAGAGATTTTATTTCAGTGAAAACAAACCCAGCAACCCAAGATGAATCTCTGTGTTTTAATAAATGCAGCTGAATCTGATAAGACAAGTTAAATCTGCTATATTTTATCAACCCCAAGTTTACTAAGCAGGCTTAGGACTCAAATGATAAGCTGTCATCTTCATGGAACAGAGTAAAAGGATGCATGGGTCCCTCATGATTTTTCATGAGCTTTTATCCTTCCTTCCAGTAGCACATGCCTCTTCGTTTACCAGTTCTAATTCTGTCAAGTCTTCCCCCACATCCTCCCTTCTGAGCATCATCATATTTCAAAGGAACAGGATGAATGTTTTGAATGCTCAAATGGGTCGTCGTACTGCTCATTACCGTTAAAATTTTTAATTATGTCCTTTATTTTTTTCCTCTTGCCAACATGTTCTTCCTATACTTTTTCATTTTTGTGTTCAAACATCCATCTTTTTTCCCTAATTTTCTGTTACCACAAGGAATTAAAGGGACAGTTCTATTTCACAAGTGACTAGGCAATTTTCATCCCATTTTCCAATTCTGTGATCTGTCATTATTATAAGGAACTCTGATGGCATAGTGGGTAAGGCATTTGGCTGCTAACCAGAAGGTCAGTGGTTCAAATATACCAGCTGCTCCACAGGAGGAAGATGTGGCAACCTACTTCCATAAAGATTTACAGCCTTGGAAAACCAATGGGGATCACTATGAGTTGGAATCGACTTGATGGCAGTGGCGTTTGGTTTCATCACTATTATACTCAATGATCATAGAAAACCACCAGCTAAGAACTGTGAAACTTGAGAGTTAACAACCCAGCCCTTGGAGACAGACTTCTTGGGTTCAAATCCTTGCTCTACTACTTACCAGCTATGTGACCATGAGCAATAAACAACTTCACTCAACATCAGTTTCCTCATTTGTAAAATGGGGGCAATAACAGCACCTACCTTTTTTGCTGAGAACATGGCCTGGTACATAGTAAGCACTATGTAAGTAGTAAATATTTTTCAAAGCATCCACAAAAAACTAGGTCAGGCCAGGATGTGGGGGCCATGTGGGAGAACCTAAGCCACCCACTTTTTCCACCATGATTCCCAGTTCAGGGGAGCCAATGTCAGAGGCTGTGATTCAAACTATGATGAATGAACTGGATGTCGAACAAGTTAGAAAGGACAGAGATGAAGCCAGAAGCTGGCAAAAGAAGGGGAGGAATGACAGATATCATGGAAGGAAATGAATCACGTTGACTTTATCTGTGAGGAATAGCCCATACTTCTTGTCAATGAGGCAATACAGAGCTCTGATTACTTATGTGTTCATTTATTAGGATGGCCAGGGCTGTGATGTTAGAGAGTGGTATCCACACACTGAGTGTTGTACTCACAGCTTCCCACTCTGGTGAATCAGAGTTAAATACATATACTTATGTTCTTCACTGAAACAGATATAATACAATTGTTCCTTTAAGCTACAATTGGTTATTTTTGCAAGCACTGATTATTACTAACATCAATAGCCAGGTCTACAAAAACAAGGCCCCATTATTGATGGGCTGGGTGGATAAAGGAAGGAGATAGGCAAGAAGGCTAAAAGGGCTGTTAAGATAGGACAAGAGACAAAAACATTGTCTCTGACATAAACAATTGTGCTAACAGTGTCAGTGAAAAGTATATATCCCTTTCTTTTAAGTAATTGCAACTATTATTGCAAGAAATGAAAACAATCAAATTTGTGAGCAGCAAACACAGTTTATCTGGGTAATATTCCACTTTGTTCTCATGCTAATTTTTGCATGAAAAGCAAAGGAGTACAAGAGTACTAAACTTTAGCAATTAAAAGGTGGAAATTTCAGCAACAATATCATAACTTGAACACAGTCAGTTCATTACACAGTCATGCATTACTTAACATCCACAATACAGTCCGTGAATTAGCACGTTATGTGATTTGGACGTTGTGTGGACACTGTATTATATACAGGCAGTCCCCAGATTACAAACAAGTTCTGTTCCCAAATCTGTCTTTAAGCTGAACTTGCATGTAAGCCAGAACAGCTAGGTATGGTTTGTATCTAACATCATTGAGTCAAATGTCTGTCTTAGGACACCTATTCCTCAGTTATCTCATCATCTGATATTTCACATTTATGACAACAGTAAAGAAATCTATCATCCGACTATTTTGCACATTAATGGCATACATCTTACAGTGATAAATGCTGAGGTGTGAGGTGGGAATAACACTGGTTATAATGATTAAGGTGTCAACTTGGCTGGGCCAAGACGGTCAGTGATTTGGCAGTTATGTATGATGTAGTCATCCTCCATTTTGTGATCTGATGTGCTCATCCTCCATTTTTTGCATAATGCTGATTTTTGCATAATGACTTGGTGTTTGGAACTTAACTACGTCAATGAGTTAGGAGTGGGTGTATATAATATACAATGCACCTTTAAAGCAACACTTCCAAGTACACTAAATACACTAAAATATCTTTAACATAATATTACAATAATTATAACAATGTTTGATGTGGATTGCAAAGTAGCACCTGTCTTTTATTATGAACCAGTGTATGTACCTCGAATTTTTAATATAATAGGCTTCATAGAGGTTGGAACCATGGACATACATGCAGTTGGATGTTTCCCAAAGTGACATTATGCAGTGCATGATTGTATATAGAATAGAATAGAAAGGTTTATAAACAATGAAAAGTCCACCAGAACCTGAGCCTTGATGTTACCCTGGACCTGATTCTGAAAGTCTGTTAGCAAAAGTCTTCCATGGGTACTATCCTCATGCACATTCAGTGTTTTTGTTTCAAAGAGCTAACATTTTTTTAGAGGTAAGAGTTAAAATGGCTTCCCTGGGTCAAGAGCCAAATATAAATTAGCCACTTGTAAGAATCAACAGATTTCCTTATCAGCATAAGTTAGCAATATATATCAGCATGAATTAGTAACACTCATCCAATCAGCATAAGCCAGCTTAGCATTCAGTAACCAATCTTCCCAAAACAAAAGGAAAAGTATACTTACTTATTCATCTAAGCTTTAAAACGGTGTTGTAATTGTGTGAACTCATATACCGTTTTCAGTTTGGGGTGTTCCCTGCTCCTGAATAATTTTTTCACTCAAAAAAGAAAAGAAAAAAACCCCAAACCCTGTTAACTTTAATTGACTCACTGATTTTTTTTTTTTTTTTGACAGTGACTACCAATTCATCAGCGACTCCTTGGAAGGAAGGTTGGGCAATCTCCTTCCGTAGTGATACTGCCTTGCAAACCCAAGGGGAGGTTGCTATGAGTCGGGTCTGACTTGATGGCACATAATAACAATAACAACAATCAATTATTATGGCCATCTCATAAAAATTAATAGGAAAAAGGAAAATACATATGACTTATTTTTATATTTTATTTTCTAGTTATTACAGAGCAGACTATTGAGATTCCAAACTACAAATTCTTCTGCCTACAATCCCAGATCACTTATACAGGAAATACAAAGTGGGCAGAAAGTGGGCAAAAGAAAAGAAGAATTAAAAATTACTTTTGCTTCCTGTAAAAAGCCTTTTTGCGAAAGGCAGTTCAGGTCAAATGTGTGGTTAGAGATGACAGGCTTCCAGGCATGAGGGAAAGTGGGTGGGTGCTATCTATACATGTCTGACCTTCATTGTAGTAATTCATTAATGGACTTATCAATTCCACAGTGGGGAAGGAGACGTATTCTTCTTCTTATTATTATTGTTATTAAATTGATTTATAAATTGATCTTATTATCATTGATTATTGTTATTAAACAATAATCTTTTGCAAATAAAGTGCTGAAAAAGAAAATTTTATCTGGTTTGCCATCAACATTTAAAATGAAATGTGGCTGTCAAATATGCAGGTTTATAATTTTGGAGGTAACTTTAAATCTCAAAACAACATGCTAAGATATGCCCCCAATTTTTCTACATGTTCATTTAAGCAGCTTCACCAAAACCTGTGCATGCAGCTTACGAATGTTCCTGCTCCTTTATTGGCCCATTCGTTCATTTGCCTAACATTTATTGTATTTGTCACATTAAGGTATGAGGATGAGACTTGGGCTTTGCCTTGAGGCCTTCCAGTCTCCTGAGATAAGCTGCCTTCAATATAATAAGTGTTTTCTTAGAGGTGTGGGAAGGGTGATGTGAGAGCTCAGAGGAGGGAGTACTTGAGTCTTAACCAATGTACCACCAGGGCTCCTTGAAGAGAAAGGCAGAGGAGGATAATTTACCAAGGAACACTGAGTACTTGTTTTCCAAGAAGAGAAAGGGTGGAAATGATAGCAGAGTCTTTTGGTTATAAGGAAAGGCGTAGGTCAATGTACCTTTGTTGTTGTTGTTGTTAGGTGTCATCGAGTCGGCTCTGACTCCTAGTGACCTTATGTACAACAGAATGAGACACTGCCCGGTCCTGCCACAGGGCCTTGCCATACCTGAGCCCATCATTGCAGCCACCGTGCACTCATCTTTTTAATTGATCCTCCACTTTACCAAGCACGATATCCTTCTCCAGAAAATGGTCCCTTCTGACAATACGACCAAAGTAGATGAGATGAAGTCTGGCCATTCTCACTTCCAAGGAGCATTCCAGATGCACTTCTAGGACAGATTTGTTAGTTCTTCTGGCAGTTCATGGTAATTTCAGTAGTCTTCATCAACACCAAAACTCAAAAGCATCAACTCTTCTTTGGTCTTCTTTACTCATTGTCCAGCTCACACATGCATGAGGTGAAAGAAAATATCATGGCTTAGGTTGGGCTCACCTTAGTCTTCAGGGAGACATCTTTGTTCTTCAGCACTTGAAAGAGGTCTTTTGCAGAGGATTTGCCCAA